ATCGTATAACGTAAATATTGTGTGTCGGACAACGTGGAAGGTTACAATGGTTTTTTAATTTTGTTTTCGGTAACAGATGAATTATTATATATCGTCGTCGTTCATTTCAGTACCGTTAAAAGTCAAAGTCGCCAATAGCGCCAATTTGCGCATATTTACTTTTAATTGCAAAATTTACAATAGGATTCATTAAACTATTATAAATATAATATTATTTACATTCGTACGTTATGGTTGAAAATTTTTTTAAGGAAACTAAAAAGCTACATAAATATTTGAATAATAATGCAGAGCAATTAAGGCTGCCGTAGTATACAAATTTATCGTGAATAAAAATATATCCTTAAAGTACTTAAGCCAATTAATCTGCAATTAAACAAAACTCATCAAAATCTGCAAACTGAAGAAATATAAGGAAATATTAACAGCTCAATGAACGAGACTCTAAAAAAAAAAGAAGAAGAAAAAAAGAAGAAAAAAATAACATGAATTCTTTGAAGTAAACAAATAAAAACATTATTGTTTAGCAATAAATATACATTATAATTTAGTATATAAATAAAGGTACAAAGTGCTGAATGAATGAGAATAAGATGGTATTTTCAGAATATGGTAGAATTATGAAAAATAAATTAGAATTATCGCTAGATGTGAACTTTTAAACACAAATGATTAACATGCAATTTATTATATGAGGAAGAAGTAAGCAAAAAATGCAGACTATAATTACGGCAAATGCTTAAATTAGTAATTTGTTAAACAAATAACAAAAAACTTATCAATGAAATTAGAGTTAACAAAATTGCGTAATAATAATGTATTGTTGTGCATGATTTTTAAAAGGAGTCAGTTATAAATAAGTCTTTATTACAATATCAGTGATACAATGTGCGAATTTAATGAGTTTAGAATTTAATTAACTTTGTACCTTGGAGTTACGTTAATTCCAAAGATTTATAAGCTAATGAAAATTTAATGGAATAGAATGGTCGAGTGAATATAAAGATTTCAATGTTATTTCAATTTAGAAGGGAATCCAGTAAATTGCAATAATTCTCAAATCAAATATTTACAAGAGGATAATGTTATATAATTGTTATTAAGATGGGAAATTCACTCATGCAGGAGATACATGAATTGAAATATATTGGTATAAATTTAGCAGACAAAAACTCGTAATTATATAAATGGAAAATACAATGAACATTTTCTAAAAATAGTCGTAATAGGCGCGAGGTAATTTTACACTTTAAAAAGGCATATGAGTACGAGAGAAAAAAAGAAGAGATGTATCGAGTTTTTATAGAGTTAAAACTGTCGTCTTAACGTTAGGTATATTAAGACAATTATCTTAATAACAATTAAATTAAAAACAGAATTACGTATATAATATCATTTGTTAAGGAACATTTTAAATATTAGATTAATTAAAATAAGTCGAATGTGGATATTGTTTGATAATTACGCACTGATTAATTCGCCGAACATTGGATCATAGGAAAGATAGAAGAAAATAAATTGCATACTAAAATCATATATTTTACATTAAAAATTTAATAAATAATGTGAAATATCGTGATAAAAAATAATTATATTATTAGAAGTAAAGAAGGCAAGAAGATTGTAAACAGTTAAAATAATAAGTAATTAAAGTAGAGTATCGTGGAGACGTTGCAATTGGGTCTTAATTATTATAGAATAAAAGCTTTTATTAAGAACTGAAGAGAAATAATTACGTAATTACAAAGTAGTGAAAATAAGAAATCAAATGAAAGTATATATTGAATTTGTAAAATTGTACAATTTTGTTGAAGCGAGAGATGATTAAGTTTTTCATTTGTCGTACAGTTTGGAAAATCAAATTTCAGAAGACAATATAGTTTAATATTCGTAAATGTCCTCCAAATTAATTGGGATTCTTACATAACGTAAATAGATATATTGAATAAATATATAAATTTAAAGTAAGAGTTTAAATTAAATTTTAAGATAAAAATAGTATTACGCAAATATTTAATATAACAAGTTGTATAGAATTTAGTTCGAAATACAACTTTAGAATACATACATTAAAAGCAGCTATTGTATAATGGATTTTTTAAAGGTAAAACGTTGATTTTTAATTACATTGAAATTCAAGTAAAAGTGATGGATTTCAATTGTGATTGAAAAAAAAAAAAAAAAAAAAATCTAGGATCTTAGGATGTGAAAAGCCTGGCCTTTGAATGCAAATATATATAAATATAAAATTTTCACTTCAATAATATAATGAATCAATTTTATAAATGGTTTTATCATTATCGTTACATAGACTATTTTATTAATAATCTTTTACTTTTATCGGAATAATAACGAATGGAATGTCAAAGGAAATTTTTGTTAAAAATAATTTATTTAAATTGAATTCCTTGATCAATGTTATCAATTTATTGCATCGATTAAACATTATTAATCATTCGACAGTGTAAAATTACTTTAAATTATTAATAAGTGAAATTTACAGATTGATAAATATAATGCAATATTTGCATGGATAATAAGTTTGGGATTCTACTGTACAATAAACAATCTTGGCATAATAATATTAATCAAAAATATCAATAAAAGAAGAATAACAATTTCGTTTATTTAAAAATTACGCAGTTATTTGTACAGGACAGTTATTGGGAATGAGTAGCAAAAATAATTTATAATTAATTTTACGTACGATAGCGATGTATTCTAAGTCTAATGTTGATCGATATGCAGAAGTTAAGGAATGAGAACAAAAAAAAAAAAAAAAAAAAAAAAAAAAAAAAAAACAAGACAAGCATGCAAATATATTAGACAAGTACGAATATATTAAAATAAGAATCATTAAAAATACTGACATTTAACCGAAACTAATATAGAAAAGATTAATTCGAATGTGTCTAGAATAATAATAATAATATGCTGGCTATAAGTAGCAACGAAGAAGGCAATTAAATAAAATAATCAAATATAATAATAGCAAAGGTAACATTAAAAGTAATTAATGCTTTATTACTTAAAAGGTGATCATTAAATATATCATTAAGGATAAATTGCATTTTTATTAAATTAAATTTTTGACATATTAAGCATGTAAGTATGGTTAACGTAAGTACGAAGCCATAGGAAAAATTCGATAAAAGTAAATAAAAATATTAAAATATCTTATTAAAAAGTATTATCTCAATTTATTAATTATCCTGTAAATTTCTATATAGGTAATAAATTTAATGAAAAATGTTTAATTTTCATCTAAGAAAATAATAAAAAAATTTTAATTACAAATTATTTGTTCAAGTATCCTTAATTCGCAATTATTGCGTTACAATTAATATAATCTAAGGATGAGAAATTCAAGATTAGGTAATGAGAAAAACGGAATGAGTAGCTAAGAATAATTTCCAACTATATTATTTTAAATATAGCAGTCGTTTTGGCATCTAACAGAATATACAAAACAGAGACTTTTAGAATAATAGAGTGAGACTGAAAATTTTCATTGCCCTAATCGCTACCAATTGAGTGAAAAATGTAAATGAACTTAAATATTAGTATGCGAAATTGTTTGCCACATGACATTATGAATTATTAATGTATGATATTATAGATAAAAGTCATAAAAGGCAGAAAAGAATAACTGGTAAGGTTTAACTAACTAGCCGGTAATTTTTATCCCAGTAGAATGCAAAGCAATTGATCGGAGTATGTACAATTTAATCTCAAGACTTAAAGCAAAGAGCGACGGCCTATGATAACATCGTGAGAGTTGGATCGGAAAAGCGTGAAAAGTAGCTAAATGAAAAAACTATCGGTGGGAAGAACGCGACTAGTGGCTTTCCAAGTAGGGGAATAAAGGCGGCGATGAGGACAGCGATGGGGGACGGGAAAGACAAATGAAGGAATAGCAGTAGAGCAGCAACAGGAACGAGCAATAGTAACAGGAATAGCAGCAGCAACAGCAACAGGAACTGTAACAGCAGCAGCAGCAGCAGCAGCAGCAGCAGCAGCAGTAGCAGCAGCAGCAGCAGCAGCAGCAGCAGCAGCAGCAGCAGCAGCAGCAGCAGCAGCAGCAGCAGCAGCAGCAGCAGCAGCAGCAGCAGCAGCAGCAGCAGCAGCAGCAGCAGCAGCAGCAGCAGCAGCAGAAGCAGCAGCAGCAGTAACAGTAGCTACAACGCGACAGAGAACGAGAGAGCCATAGAGTTCAATGACCTATGGAAGCCCGCCTCTCTGGCTTGGCGCGTGGGAGGGGAACAGCAGCGCAGCTCTTCTGACATACTGCGCGCGTGCGTGTGCGCGCAGGACGGATACGTCGCTTTTCCGCTCGTCGTCGTCTTGATCGTCGCCGTCGTCGTCGTCGTCGTCGTCGTCGTCGCCGCCGTCGTCGTCGTCGTCGTCGTCGTCGTCGTCATTGTCTACGTCGCTGATGTGGGTTCTCCCTCCCCCAAAAAAAAATCCCCCTTGTGTGACAAAGCCCGGCATGCCGAAGCGTCCGTACACACGGGAAGTGCACTCGGTTTCGGCTTTCCCAGAGGCTTTTCACCGCGATGACTCGCTCTCTCTCTCTCTCTCTCTCTCTCTCCGTCTCTCTCTCTCTCTCTCTCTCCCCCTCTCCCCTCTCCCCCTTAGTTTCTCTATCCTGCCCCACCCCGCCCGGAGAACACGCTTTTTTCGGGGACCGGCGCCGCGCACGGCCTAAGGTCGTCGGCCCCCGCAGTTGCGCAGGATTTTTCGAAACCACGGCCACGCCGACGAGGACAGCGGCTGCAACTCGGCTAAGGCAGTCGCTCGCGCTGTTCGCGCGCGCACATGGGACCTTTTTTCTTCCGGCCGCGAAGAGGCGGCTCTCTTATCACGCCCGTTTGCGCGACGCGTCACGAGGAACATCTCCACCAGAGTGTCTTATTTAATGCGTGCGTGCGTGCGTGCGTGCGTGCGTGCGTGCGTGCGCGCGTGCACCCGAGCGCCCGTGTTTTTGTGAGCGTGCTGGCAGCGCACGGACGTAATTACGTAAAACGGGTGTGCATTGCTCAAGAGCGTCGACAATGACTCGATGAAAATGTAAAAGGAAAGAAAGAACGACGCGTCCGTAGAAGAGAAAGAAGAGTAGAGCGCCTCCAACAAGCCTAGGAGACAAAAGAAAGCGGAATAAAAAGCGGCTAATGGCGCTTCGATGATTAAACGCGATTTTTCGTAATCACGAACAAAGAGCCGCCGATGTTGTGTCAATATAGTGTATTGCGTATGTCATTATTAATACGAGCTTATATGAAGGAGCGAGCGAGAGAGAGAGAGAGAGAGAGAGAGAGAGAGAGAGAGAGAGCCGCGAGAAGCTTGCGATTCCCAATGGTTATGATTTTTTTACGCACCCGCGTCGACCTTGATGAGCAATTTGCATGGGTTTTGGAAAACGTCGTAGCTTACAATGAGATTTCATACGTGAGAATCGGTGCATGGATACGATAAAAGAAAACAATCGCGTAAATCTTATCTATCGAAAATTTTAATCGTACAGACGGACGTTGACGAGCCAACGTAGATTAGGGAGCAATTTGAGATCGCGCGAGGAGGAATAATACCGGGCGAAAGAAGAAGCTATTGAAGCGAGGAAAAAGTATCGGGCAGTCGAGTAAAAGCCTCGAGGCGAAGGCGTCAAAGGTCGGAAAGATCGCTAAACGACGAACGAGTCTTGGACCAAGGGGGCTTGGATGGTGATAAGCCATTCGGATTAATAGAAATACGGTCGAACGATACACGATCGGGCGGCTCGGCTCTTGAGAAAGACACGCTTCGCGTTTAAGAGCTGCCGGTGATTTTACGATCGGAGAGTCGTTGGTGAGCATTGGTCGTTGTTGATTGTCGATAATGATGAAGCTGCCGCGCCGAATTGAGAAGAGGAAAACGTAATATAGGGTGTTATTCACAATCAAAGTACACGAGAGGCGAGTTGATGGTGCGACCGAGTCCTCCGAAAAATTGCTACGGTACAATGAAACAGAGCCGACGATGTAATCGCGAGTCGACGGTTAAAGTGCGCGCGGGCGTTTGAGTGGAAGAAGTGGTGGTGCGCCGCTGGTGTCATCGTACCGCAGCTTTTCGGACGCAGGCCGAGAAGATACCCGAGGGCGACCGCGCAGCAGCTGCACAGCCTGTGTGCGCGTCTCTCAATCTCTCTCTCTCTCTCTCTCTCTCTCTCTCTCTTTCTCACTCGCGCGCGCGCGTACGCACTCTATCATATCCATCCATCCCTTCTTCCCACCGTAACTCTCGCTCTCTCTCTCTCTCTCTCTCTCTCTCTCTCTCTCCCTCTCCATGTTCGCATACGTGCGTGCGCATGTGCGCGCGCGAAAGAGCGCGTGACGCACGCGAACAGCGGCAATGCGTTGGCCGACTGTACTCTCCGGGTTCATCGTTCTCGATTATGTAATGTTTGACTATATGGTGCAAGCGCCCCGACGCTAGCGCGCTCTCTCCCTCCCTTTTTCTCCCTCTCTCGCTTTCTTCTCTCTATCTCTCTCTCTCTCTCTCTCTCTCTCTCTCTCTCTCTCTCTCTCTCTCTCTCTCTTT